ACACATAGAGATAGTCAGATAAACACTCGTATAAGCAGACGACAGACTCTTTGGCATTCCGAATTAAGTCAACTCGTCCATTCATCCAGTCACAGATAGACAGGCTGATAACCAAGCAGACAGACATACGGATAGGCCGGCAGAGAGACTGTAAAACGGGCCGGCAGATTGATAAACAGACAGATTGACTGATAAACGTACAGATACAAGCTGAAACAGTTAGACAAGCACAGTGTAGACAGACAGACATTTACACACGCTCATTCAAACCAGACAGACAGACACCAGATACAAATGGCAAAAAAAAACTATATAACGATCATCATCATCATCATCATCATCATCATCATCATCATCATCATCATCATCATCATCATCATGGGTCCTGCCAACTGGCGTAGGCGCTCATGCGTCTCCACCGGTCACGATCCAAGATTGTCTGGAACAGCTTTACTAATGATATCCCTCCATGCCATCGTTTCAGCCCATCCATCATCATCTCTCTTGGTCTGCTTCTACCCATCTTTATACTGATCTTTCCAGTTTTCACAATGTTCTCCAATGTCTCTCTTCTCATTATGTGACTAAAGACCAGTGTTTGTCTCTTTCTTATTGTTTAATAAAGAGATCAAATTTCATAAGCCTCTTTCAAGCAATCGTTGTTAGTTACTCTGGCCGTCCAAGGTATTCGTGACAATGGTCTCACAAACCACATCTCTGTTGCTTCAAAATTCATCTTACTGTGTTCAGTGACATTCCAAGATTGGCTGCCATACAGCAAAACAGGTTCTTATAAAAAGAAAGTAAAACCGAGAGAAATGTACCGATATTTTGTCCCACGGCTAGAGGGCAGGTCGCAGACAGCAGACTATTCTCCGGTTCTCCAGACGGCTTGTAGTTGTACCACAGTACTGCCGTACCCTGGATGCAAAGGGAAAGATACAGAACAGTAACATTTCTCTTATATCTTCACTCCTCTTGAATTCATCTCATTTAATATTCGCCATTTTCCTCAGGCATTGTATAATTAAAACAGAATCAATCTTGCTAAAACCCAAGCCATTCCATTCGCGTGAGGCTGGACTATAAACTGTCTGAGTACTTATATGCCTCCAAGTGTGTGTATACATTCATAACCACACATACACATCCTGCTTCTGTTTAAGTTTGGAGAGGTTACCAAGATTTTCGCTATACAGTCATCAAGGAATTGGGACGTGGTTGCTTCGTTCGAAGCTACGCTTCTTTATCAATCCCAAGCTAATAGATACAGGATATTTTCGTTGCCATGGTGAAATGGGAGGCAAAGTCAGGGAATTAAAAGTCCGAATCTGCAGCTTTCACTACTGATATCCATACAATCAATTTACTTTTGATATCCATACAATCAATTTATTATTGATATCCATACAAACAATTCAGTCATACCTCATTTAACCAAAGGCTACTACTATATTCTCTTTGCATTCCGACAATGGTGGGAGAGTGGTACTTGGGAAGAAACTGTAGTGTCATCATGTAATATTTAGATAGAGCATAGATGCACATTGTTTGTTGTTAAACCCAACCAGGACCGTACAACGAGCGACCGACACCCACTGACACAAAGTGCCACCTGTCGGATGAGGATCACCAGGGGACTAGTCCCAGAAGCCTCGTTGAACCGTTAGGTTATATTAGGGCCCCCTAACTACAGCCAGGATGGGGCTTTAAAATAAGCAAACGTTGCGTCTCACATAAGGACGTCATTAGTTTTCTAAACACATATACATCGCGTTGAAACCTGATCGTGGAGTTAAAACAAATAATCAAAATAATAATACAAATAACAACAACAAATGGTGATAATGTACCTCAGGTAATTCAAAAATTCAGAAATATTTGCCGTAACAAAGAATATTCCACGATTACCTGTTTTGGAATCACTGTAATATTCTGCTCAATGAATACAGTTGCTCCCCCTGCCGCCACGTCCGACAACTAAGAATGGATTTAAAATAATACAAATTAATTTTAAACAGCTAATACGCTTTTAAAATCTTTAATGAAAGGAAATGTCAAAGGCAAGAGAGCAAGAGATGGGCAACGATACAAGTGGGAGGATAACTTTGTGAGAAGGACGGAGAGCAGTCTAAGAGAATGTACAACCAGGACAAGAGACGGAGCGTGTTGGAGGACCATTGGAGCTAGCCTTTACTGTGGAGACGGTACATGGTGGATAGATTGATTGCGTGACTAGTAGTTTAAGGAATAGTTAATAAAACAGGATGCCTCCCCTGGTAGCGAAATGCCAACTTGTCTGGAAGGAAGAGCCTGAGAAGGAATGGGGACCACCAGTATGAAAGTAAAGCCATGGTGATCTCAAGAGAGAGAAGCAACACCAGATCATGATGGGACTGTATGCACTGGAGCAGGTCAACCAGTTTCAATATCTTGGAGTTGTAGTAGACCGAAATGGAGGCATTCAGACAGAGCTGCCTGCCCGAAAAGCAGCTGCTGG